GTTCCGTTGACTCCCATTGGGTCCTGGGACCCCCTGACCCCCCCTTTGCCCCCCAGGGATGATCCAGGCCCTGGGCGGGTTCTTCGCCTACTTCGTGATCCTGGCGGAGAACGGTTTCCTCCCGTCCTGCCTCGTCGGGATCCGCCTGCGCTGGGACGACCGCACCATCAACGACCTGGAGGACTCCTACGGGCAGCAGTGGGTCAGTCGGGGGGGGGTTTCACCCCAAAAACAGGGCACCCCAAAAACGGGGAACCCCCCAAAAAAATGGGCGGCGGGAGCCCCCCCCAAATTCCTGGAAAAAGGCAGAAATTTGGGAGGGGGAGAAGCTCCGTTTCCCGGCAACCACCCAGAGGGGTCTTAAAGGGCTCCCCCAGAAATGGGGTTCCCAAAAAATGGGGCTCCCAAAAAATGGGGCTCCCAAAAAATGGGGCTCCCCGAAAAGGGGGCGCCCCAAAAATAGGGGGTGGGAGCCCCCGAAATCCCTGGGAAAGGCTGGAATTGAGGGGGGGGAGAAGGGGCAGAAATTTGGGGGGGAGTGGGGTCCGTGAACCCCAATTCCCAGGAAATGTGGGGTCTCTGCACCCCAATTTCTGGGAATGGGGCAAGGGGGGAGTCTCTACACCCCAATTCCTGGGAAAAGGGGGGGTCTCCACACCCCAGATCCCAAGAAATGGGGGTCTCCAAACCCCAAATCCCAGGAAAAGGGGAACCACGCCCCAGATCCTGGGAAAAGGGGGGGTCTCCACACCCCAATTCCTGGGAAAAGGGGGGTCTCCGCACCCCAAATCCCAGGAAAAGGGGGGTCTCTGCACCCTAATTTTGCAAGGGGGGTCTCCACACCCCAAATCCCAGGAAAAGGGGGGTCTCCACACCCCAAATATCAGGAAAAGGGGGTCTCCACACCCCAAATCCCAGAAAATTTCGGGTGGGTGGGGGCGGCACCTTCTCCCCCTCTTTTCTCCCCAACGGGGGGTCGTGGCGAGACGGGGTTTTTTTTGGGGGGCCCGGGGGGGTCTCCAGAGGGGGGTCCCTCACCTCTTGTGCCCCCCCCCGGCCCCCCCCCGCAGACGTACGAGCAGCGGAAGGTGGTGGAGTTCACGTGCCACACGGCCTTCTTCGTCAGCATCGTGGTGGTGCAGTGGGCCGACCTCATCATCTGCAAGACCCGACGCAACTCCGTCTTCCAGCAGGGCATGAAGTGAGAAAAAAGGGGGGTCTCGGAATCCTGGGGGGGTCCCCGAAATCTTGGGGGGGTCCCCGAAATCCTGGGAGGGTCCCCGGAATTTTGGGGGGAGCG